CCTGTTATCCATCTCTGTATTCCTGTATTTATTTAAGCCGGCACCTGATAGTGCTTGGTCATGTGTGACCTCATTTTTATAATGTCCTTTGCCTACTTCCTTTATCTATTTGTCCGTCCTCCACCTACCTGTCCATCCTTCCAGTATGTATTCTGTTCATCAGGTAGGTAGATCTGAGTTCCAGGCCAGCCAGGGCTGCACAGTGAGACACTCTTTAAAAATGAAAATGTGTGAGTGAGTACATCCCATGTTCCTCTTTTTGGGTCTGGCTTATCTCACTCAGGATAGTGTTTTCTATTTCCGTCCATTTGCATGCAAAATTCAAGAAGTCATTGTTTTTTACTGCTGAGTAGTACTCTAATATGTATATATTCCATACTTTCTTCATCCATTCTTCCATTGAAGGGCATCTAGGTTGTTTCCAGGTTCTGGCTATGACAAACAATGCTGCTATGAACACAGTTGAGCATATACTTTTGTTGTATGATAGGGCATCTCTTGGGTATATTCCCAAGAGTGGTATTGCTGGGTCCAGGGGTAGGTCGATCCCGAATTTCCTGAGAAACCGCCACACTATATTCATCCTCCTGGATATTAACCTTCATCAGGCGATGAAAGGAGACAGATACAGAGACCCACATTGGAGCACCGGACTGAAATCCCAAGGTCCAAATCAGGAACAGAAGGAGAGAGAGCACGAGCAAGGAACTCAGGACCGCGAGGGGTGTACCCACACACTGAGACAATGGGGATGTTCTATCGGGAACTCACCAAGGCCAGCTGGCCTGGGTCTGAAAAAGCATGGGATAAAACCGGACTCGCTGAACATAGCGGACAATGAGGACTACTGAGAACTCAAGAACAATGGCAATGGGTTTTGATCCTACTGCACGTACTGGCTTTATGGGAGCCTAGGCAGTTTGGATGCTCACCTTACTAGACCTGGAAGGAGGTGGGTGGTCCTTGGACTTCCCACAGGGCAGGGAACCCTGACTGCTCTTCGGGCTGATGAGGGAAGGGGACTAGATTGGGGGAGGGGAGGGAAATGGGAGGCGGTGGCGGGGAGGAGGCAGAAATCTTTAATAAATTAATTAATTAATTAATTTAAAAAATGAAAATGTATCAGAGCAGTGGTGGCACACACCTTTCAGTGTCCCAGCATTCGGATGCAGAGGCAGGTGGATTTCTGTGAGTTTGAGGCCAGCCTGGTCTACAAAGCAAATTCTTGGACAGCTGGGGCTACATAGAGAAACTCTGTCTCAAAAAATAAAGCAAAGCAAAACAAAACGAAAAAGTAATTTTTTTCTAAATTTGAGACAAATTTTTCCGTTCCTTTTAAGTGTTATAAGTAACATATTTTGCCTCTTTATCTGTTTGAAATTTTCTGGTATAATAATCAGAAGACAAAGTAAATTACTTGTGAAGGAAAAAAGTAAACGAGTCATAGTAATAACAGCCCCTATATACCGTGATGCACAGTTTGTTTCAACTGATTCTGCACGTCCACTTGGCTGTGTAGACTTAACTTGCACTGACATATTTGTTTCCTATTCTGTGCCAGGGTTTGATACCGTCAGACTTCACAGCTTTTGCAAGCCTGGCTAGTGAATTAATGTCCAGGCCTCATTTTGTCACATCACATTAGCCATTTGCATTTCTCTTCGCTGTTCATGTACTTTGTGGTCTTTTCCTATTGAGTCGTTTGTCTCCCTGAGTTGTAGGGTCAGCTCGTATATTCTACATAGCAGCCCTCTGTTGTATAGATTACAGATATTTTGTCTCAATCTCTTCTATTTTTCTGTTGTTTCAGCTCGCCTTTTAAACCCTACAGTAATGAGTAGTGGGTCTTCCATTTCAGTCTAACCCAGTACTTTTGGTGATGGTACCTGTGTGCAGCCAAGATAGCGTTCTGAAGTCTGTGGGGCTCTGTGGTGTCATCTGTCAGCACGGCAGGAAAATCATCACCAGCATCCATTGTCTTTGGTCCAGTAGACCCTGTCTGTTTTTGCTCACTAGTTATCTTATAAGTTATTTACAAAACTAGGAATAGGAACGAAATGAAGAACTCATTTGAAAATAAAATAAATGGGGGCTGGAGCGGTGACTCATTGGTCACGAGCGCTTGCTGCTCTTACAGAGGACCTGGCTCACAGCTGTTTGTAACTCTAGTTCCGATGCCTTATTCGGGCCTGTTTGGGCACCAGACTTGCACATGATGCACGTACATGTAGGGAAATACTTGTGCACATAAAAAATCTTTTAAAATATATAATACATGAAGTAACTTTTCCACATTCTTTTGGTTATGGGTAAACACACACACGCACACATAACATGTATACACACACATACTAGGGTTTTTTTATTGTGTTTTATTTCTTTTTTTAAATTTTATTTTTTTTTACTTCTTTTGATATGTTTTATTTGAGACAGGGTATAACTATATAATTCTGTCTTGGATCTTGATATGTAGACTGGACTGGACTTGAACTCACAGAACACCTTCTGCCTTTGCCTCTCAAGTGCTGAACTAAAATGTGTGTGCTACCACACTTGGCCATATATTCTGAATTTTTATTCTACATTGTCCTTGTTGGGAACGCACACACATACATGTGTTACCCCTGAAATGGATGTGTCTCAGATTACAGCTAACTGCCCATTAGCTGTTGTGCGTGACCCAATGCATCCCTTCTGAAAGGCTGATTGTGGTTTCAGGTCTGGCTTAGCATTGCTCCTAGTTCTTCTCATTCTTGCAGCATCAAAAATAGCACTTGGATTTTTTGTGTTGAACCTTTGGTGATTCACAGAGCTGCTTTGTTTCCTAATTCAAAGTTTTGGGTGTTTTTTGTTTTTTTGGGTTTTTTTTTTTTTTTTGGTATCTAGAGTAGAGTAATCAATGATTTTCTTTTTCTGAGACAGGGTTTCTCTGTGTAGCCCTGACTATAGATTACTTTGTAGGCCAGGCTGACTTCAAACTCGCAGAGATCCTCCTGCCTCTACCTTCTGAGTGCTGGAGTAAAAGGTGTGCACCACCACCATCTGGCTAGCCAATAATTTTCAAATGTCTTTGTCATCTGTGTTCCTCTGTCATTATTGTATACCTTCCCCCTGTAAACTATACCAAATACAGTTTTACACACAGCATCATGGAAAATGAAAGGATAGGGTGTGTCTTTATATTGTAACAGGAGCCATCCAAGGTCGTACTGCAAATACTGCATGACGACATCTTTCCTGGTAAAGCCTAACTGGGCAGAGAGTATGCCGCTTCTTTTTGTGATAGGAATATATTGTTTACTGTTCAATTTTTTTAAAAACACATTTATTATGTATTCTGTGTGTTCTGGGAGGAAGGAACGTATGTGGGAAAGTCAGAGGAGAACTTTGAGTGTGTTCCCTTCTTCCACCATGTGGGTTCTGGGGATCAACCTTAGGTCACCAGGCTTGGCAGGAGGTGCTGGCCCAGCTCAGCAGTTCTTGAATTTGAGGACATTCATCTGGTCTACTGTCACCAAAGATCATAGAGTGAAATTTGTTTCTGCCATCAGTTTCCTTGCCATTGGACATCTGCTGTACACTTCACATCTCTGTGTGTAGCTGATTTGTCTTGGAATTGTGGAGTGTCTTCCTGTGCCACTTTTTCTTAAGGCCATTAGAGATGGAAATTTTGAAGTCAGGATTCTGAACAGTGTTCAGTGGAGGCCAAAAGCAGATAGAAATGCCTCCAGCGGTTCATTCTGTGCTGAAACCGCATGAGCTGCTCCAGAAGGAAGACACCACAGCTGGCTCTGCAGACCCTGAGGTCACATCGAGGGCTCGAGTCCACTGGAGAGTGTATGACTGTGTTAATCTAGAACGGCCACTGACCTGAAAGGTGTTAGACATCACCTTTTCCGTGTGTTGTCTGGGACAGATGCATCCTCTTCCTGTTCGTCTGCTCCCAAGAGTCCTGCTTTATCTGCCCCTCTCCTCTCCACCTCTTTTCTCTATCCAAACTGTTGGCTCCGGAGTGAACTGCATCTCTGTAGAGCACAGGGCACTGCCAGCCTCCAGTCGGGAAGTCTCTCTAAGAGGGGTGTTTGCCAAGTGCAATATCATTGTGTGTGCAGGCATCACAGGAGTCTGCCAAGCCCAGAGGTAGGCTGCCAGTGCAAATGCCACGTCGACATGACATTTACAAGTTTAGAGTCTGGAAAAGGACTGGCCGCGGACACCTTCAGCTATCTCGTTTCCGGTATCAGTAACCGGGCCAACTGGGATTTTCAGACTGAAGAAATCAATCAGGAAGTAATACTTGATGTATTTTAAGCTGTCATTACCCTCTTCCAGGAAAGGAGAAATCCATAGGCTACAAGATAAGCCATAATGGTTAAGCTTGTAGACTCGAGAATCAAGCATGGATGAGGCTCTTGAATGAGGTTCTTATCAGTTACTACAATGAACTTGAACAAGCTGCTTAATCTGCATGATCCTGAGCTCTGAGACAGGAATGTCACTGTCACCTTTCTCATAGATTTATCACATAGAATAAACAAATTGAAAACAAAATCGCTTACATGCTTCAAAACCCCCTGGTAGATTGTTTCCAGTTCTCATACTTCAGTCGTGAGAATTTTCCAGAACATATTGTGCCAGCAAGAGCTTGTGTGTAGACTAGCCTTGGTTGAGGCACTGCTGCAGCACCGCACGGGGTCCCAGGACACGGTTTTCCTTGTCTCTCTAGGGAGCCAGGATTGTTTGAACATTTTGCATTTCTGTAATTGTTTAGGTGCAAAATTATACTGTTTTATTTGCCTGTTTATTAGGGCAACATACTTTTTTGGGGGACATGAGTAACAAGGTCAGTTATCATGATCTGGTATCTGAATAGTAGATTTTTCCGTATTTATATAAAATATAAGCATTGAGGTAACCTTGGTTTTTTTTTTTTTTAAACTATTTTCAGAGCCGTCAGTAAAATGATGAGATTCCTACCCCTCCTTTCTCTTCTCTTCCAGGTCTTCAAAGCTATTTCGGGCATTCTATGTCCCCTTCCTGTCGGATCAGTATACGGTGTATGTGAACTACACCATCCTTAAGCCTCGGAAAGCAAAGCAAAGCAGGAAGAAAAGTGGAGGTTAGCAACAGCCCAGTGGCTCCAGCGGACAGCCATCACGTTAACTAGTGGTTCCACTGAGCTGTAACGCTCGTAATAAAGGTCACCTGACAAGAATGCCAGATTCCGGGTGCTCTGAACTCATCACGTCTGGCAGAGTCACACACTTCCTGCCCCTGTGTGTTCTGCATGTGAGCTTTCCGCAGATAGGCAGAGTCCCGGGCGCCTAGGGAGATGCATTGCTCCACTTGTCAATTGTTATTTTCTAGAGTGGAGGAGAGCAGAAGCCGCTCCCAGAAGAGCTGAGAGCCCCTGACTGGGTGTGTGTGCTAGCAGTTCTGCACACTCTGGCCTGGCGTCTGGGAACTAGCAAGCCTTCTTTAGGGTACCTGGTTTCTCCACCAAAGCTGTTTGGCAGCTCCTAGCAGACCTTGTTCAAATCCAAGTGCAAGCACAGCCTAGTTGCCAAGTTACATGTCCTTTCACCTCCAGCAAGACGCATTCGCAGGACTGCAACCCTGGCCTGGGAGCTCAGGAAAAAGGCGACCACTGAAGAACTGTGACCTAATCTTATTATTTATGATGCCTCTAATTTTCATTTTATTTGCTTTAAAATCAATAATAATCATATGGCTATTTGTGAAGGGTTTTAAGATTTTAAAAAAAGTTTCAGCATGATATATCTTGAATCCTAGACTCTGTACAACTATATCGGGCATCTTTGGAGAGAAGTATATCAGTAGAGTTGGGTGACATATTTTAAAGTAGCTTGAGGCCATTTTGCGGACATTGAGAATTCCTTTGTGTAAAATGACAGCCCCGGTGAAATGAAAAGGACAGTGTGCATATATAGCACCCACACTTCAATTCTGCTGCAAGGTGTCCTTGAGCAGGAGCGTCTAGTTAGTTGCATAGGCGGTGGTAAGGACTACAAAAGGCTGCCTGTTAGCTCCCCTTCCCTTTCAATACGGCACAATGTATAAGACATTCCTCAGTGTCTCATTTGATCCTCAGCCACTGCGAGGACCCACTTCACAGAAGAGGAAGCAGATGAAGGGGGAGAGGAGAAGTGGCTTGTCCCTTGTCATATGTGTGGGCAGGAAGTCATAGGCCTGGGTGTCGAATCCAGGCTGTCTGACTTCTCACGTTCTCAGACTGTCCATGCCTCTCCTCCACCTATGAAACACGACTTGGGAGGAGGATTAGCTTGACCACAGGCCACGTTTGTTTTGTCAATTTCTGTTTTAAGGAAGATGTTTAGGTACAGTTCTTTGAGTCCTTTGGAGCCTGTGGGTGACCCCTCACTTAGCAGTGCTGTGTGGCATTGCCAGACCTCGGTAGGAAGGTCCTGGCACTGTAACCCACAGGATCTTCTGCATACAGACTTCTTGTTGTCCCCGTGGGCCATGTTACAGGTGCCTTATTTCCTTAAGGGTGACAGGTTCTAGTAGTGCAGATGGTAGATCTGATTTTCACGGTTTCCATTTTCCTGTTTCCTTTTTTTTTCTTTTTAAGGAAAGTAACTTTCTAACGTGAATTAGTCTCAATAAAAGAATAAAGAGGACAGAAAAATAAGTAGTTAAATGAAAATATTTACTCTTGGGGGTTCCCCTCTGAAAGAATACCGACTGGAGTTGATGAAGCAGAGGTGAGGCAGCAGGTTCAGACATACAGAATGACAACTGCACAGGAAGGATAGACCGCAGCCCTACTGTGCGCATGGTCCCTGAAATTCTGTTCTCAGCACCTGATCGCCACTTTCCAAGGCAAACAGTGGGGTGTGATCTGAAGACCAGAACTGCAGTGAAACCTATCTATCTCAGAAGCCGAGGCCCTGTGGGATGCACAGAAGAGTTGATGACGGGGTTCAGAGAGGAGCAGCTCTTGTCCAATCAAAGAACTGCAGTGAAGCCTATCTATCTCAGAAGCCAAGGCCCTGTGGGATGCACAGAAGAGTCGATGACGGGGTTCAGACTGTTGTTCGCATGATTACTGTGTGGAAGACCCAGGGTTACGTTCTTTTTTTTTTTTAAAGATTTATTTATATATTTATTATGTATACAACATTCTGCCTCCATGTATGCCTGCAGGCCAGAAGAGGGCACCAAATCTCATTACAGATGGTTGTGAGCCACCATGTGGTTGCTGGGAATTGAACTCAGGACCTCTGGAAGAGCAGCCCGTGCTTTTAAGCACTGAGCCATCTCTCCAGCCCCCCACCCCCAGGGTTCAGTTCTTAACATATGCAAACACCCCCCAAAATGGTACAGAGTTGAGCTATTTGATCATCTTGCATGTCTGAAACAAACGTAACGATCCTCCACAGGTGCCCGACATGAACCTAGGCCTCCACGTACGCCTGTGCGTGCACTCACACACGTACACACAGTCAGCTCAGTGAGAACTTAATTTATAAAGTTAATTATAAAGGCTAAGTGGGCATAGAGCTCTCTTGGGATTGTCGGTTCCAGTCCCTTTGAAAACCCCACTCTGGCTTTCTCCATTCTGTTTCTGGTGAGGGTACAGTACATTGTGGACACTATGCCAGGTACCTCTCAACACTTGGGGGTTGGTTAGCTTCCCCTGGGAAGAAGAAGGGCGTCATGGGCAGTCTCACATCTCTGCCAAGCACCGCTCTGCACACACCTCTGCTCGGTCCTTGGAGTAAGGTACACACGTGTAGATGTTGCTGCTGAGGATGGAGCTCACACATGATCATACATGATCCATAATCTCCTTTGTGGGCAGGACAAGGTAGTAGGGAGACTTGGCAAATCCAGACTTCTTTGCTCTCTAACCCCGAAAGCAGCTTTATCTGAACCTAAATCTTGTGGCACTGAGTGCCATTATTGACCCAGTCAGCATGATAGGAATCTGTTAACAAAAATCTGCCTCTTGCCTTTTCTTGTCATCTGATAAAAACAGGTTATCTTAATTTCTTTGGGTAAGTGCGGAAAGCTGCAGCCTGTACTCCTTATTACTGAATCAGGCTTGCAGCAGACGTGGTTTTATAGCAGGGTGGTTATTGATCCCAGTCCCCTTTTCTTTAGGTCTGGAGTTCTGGGAAAGAGCTTTGGAGTCCTTAGGTGAGGATCCCCAGTGGGAACCCTCTCTTGTGTGTTCTGCTTCCTAGGACAGAGTGAATGGGAGGCACCGTGGCTGTATAGCCTTCTGGCTAACACCAGACATATTGGCTTCTCACGTAGTTATTTTTGTTTACATCAAAGCGGCAAAGAGGCACTTAAATCTTCGCCTCTACAGATGCAGTAAAAACTTACACGGGCGTCTACTTTTAGGCTCCCACGTTGAATTCCTCAGGTAAGTGGATGACAATGGCTTTGTAACAAGAAGCTCAAGGCACTGTTGGAGTTTCAGGGCCTCGCTGGAGTATCCATCCCATGTAACCCTGGGATTCTTGAAGCCAATGAAACCAGGAAGCAGCATAGTGCCGAAGCCCGTGCATCCAGTTCACCGTCTTCCTGATCCTTGTGCTTTTTCCATGGCAGTGTTTACATTGCATGCCTACTGTATTTCTATGAAGGAAAAAAGTCAATAAATGTTGGCAGTTTGCCCCCCCCTCCCTTTGAGACAGGGTTTCTCTGTGTAGTGCTGTATGAACTGGAACTCTCTCTGTAGCCCACTCAAGACTCACCTGCCTCTGTCTCCCAAATGCTGGGATTAAAGGTGTCACCCCCACCTTGAGCTTGATCCCCCCCCTTTTTAAAAGATTTTATTTATTATGTATACAGTATTCTGCCTGCAGGTAGACAGGCAGGCCAGAAGAGGGCACCAGATTTCATTACAGATGGTTGTGAGCCACAATGTGGTTGCGGGAATTGAACTCGGGACCTTTGGAAGAACAGCCAGTAGCCAGTGCTCTTAACCGCTGAGCCAACTCTCTAGCCTGATTTCCCCTTTCTTAAGGTCACTTTTTTCATTCGCACTCAGCTTCTAATCTTCACTGGGAATTGGAATTGGAAACAGCACAACTTCTGTGTCCTCCATCCCCATGTTGCAGTTCATAGATGCAGCTTTCACAGGTCAAAGAGTCCAGAATGTGTTCCCTGAAACTTCTTAGGGAAGACGCCTTCCAGAATCACAGTGGTAATTTCGTTCCTTCCAGGGGAAACTGAGCGCACAGGAATTTGAGCATTGTGCTGGAGAGAATGTGCCACATGCCTAGCTTATCTTAGGGTTTGGGCTTCAGGCCTCTGGAGTCCAAGAGTCTGGTTGTCATTGGCATCATGACCCAGTTACAACTGGCATTTGGGTAACTTCCCCCTTGGGGAGGTGCTGGATTTGGGGGGTGGGAGAAAGGGAGCTTTCTCCATCCTTGTCTTCCTCTTCTCATGCCACCTCATCACCTGACTTTGCAGAATTACTTTTCACTTTTCTTCCCACCTGACCCAGGTGTCCTTGGGATTTAATTTATCTTTCCCACGTTATTTTAGACATGGTCATTAATCTAGTCCCAGGTGGGAAAGGCCACTGGAGTCATTGTTCTGTCCTGTGTAGGACACCACCTTTGCTCTCTGTCCGTGTGCTTCTCCATCTTCAGAGCCTCATTTAGAGTCCTCCGGACTTCAGACCCCTTTGTTAGGAGCAGACAACTTTAAGCAGAAACCTTGTAAACCTCTGTTTCAGGAATGATAACTGGCACAATGGAGCAGGCTCCGTACCGTCTTATTCGGGGCTCAGCAATCCCCCAACGTTGTTTTGCTCCCATGCATTTGACATCGAGGAAAGTAAAAGACACCTTTTTACTAACAGTCAGCTCTTGCTTTCAGTTTGGCACAGATTTTTCATTTTTATTTTTTGAGGCATAGTTTCATTCTGTAGCCTAGAGTGGTCTGTAACTCAGGACATCGCCCAGACTGGTCTAGGAGTCACAGCAATCTTCCTGCCTCAACCTCCCATTGTTGACGTGTGAGTTACTGTGCCCAGCATCTTGGTCTGAATTCTTAGACACAGAAAATGCAGCAAGTCAGAAGTCTTGAGAACTCAGAAGGGTAGCTTTTAAGTCAGCCTGTTCGTGTATGTGTGGGGCTTAGCAGTTCTGAACTCCAGACTTTTGGCACGAGAGCACATTCCTGAGGTTGCTTCTAAAAAGAGCAACAAGGCCCTGTATGGAATATTTACATTTCTCTATTCCCTGATTTTGGAGGGTCAGACTTGGCACAGATTTTCTTCCGAATGAGTCTGGCTTAGAAGACTTTCTCGTTGATGTGATGAGGTGTTAGGTTTTTCTTGTCCCGTCCTTTGTAGAAGATGCTCAGCTGCAATCTGGATTTGTGGTCACACACTCAGATTGAATATTAAGTAGCAAATAATACAGTAAAGCTGAAAACTTCCCTGGATCTTCCCAGCTGTAGAATTCTGCTTAGACCTGACATTTGAACAAGTTCAAATCAATACGTCCAACCAATGAAATGAGGGAAATTGAGGTTAAGGAAGTCACGGTGGGGGGCTGTAGTGGCAAGGACAGCTGGACATTTCCTGTTGGAGCCTTGTAAACTAAACACCTTGTTTGAACAATTTGACCTTAAGTGAACATTTAAGTTTGAACTTTTTTTTTCTTGAAATTTAAGTGCATCTTGCAGTATCTTAACACTTCAAAGTAAGTCAGGCCTTTCTGTTTGCTTTTGTTTTTCTCTTTACTTTCTGGGTTTGTTCTGTAGTT